AAAAAAAATGAATTTAGGTGCAGAATGTTTTATTATATAAATGTATGATTGAAAATTAGTACGTAAAAAATGGTTTAAAAAGTATGATTGTCAAATATGAGCTAAGATAGTTTGAAAATACAATTTCAAAATTAATAAATATGTTTTAAAGTTTCAAAAAAATTTGAAAATACAATTTCAAAATTAATAAATATGTTTTAAAGTTTCAAAAGATAGGTCATACTTAAATTTAATTAATTAAAACATATCACTAAAAATATTTTAATAATTAAATATATTAAGGTCACAATTACTTCCTAATCACAATCAGAAATTGTCATAATCACAAACACAAATTTCATATCACGACTTATTTATTAATCATAAGTTATTAAATTAATTGGTCACGCGATATTTCTTGATTACGAATCATAAATTTTATAGGTCACATGTATTATTTCTCAATGACAAATCACAAATTTAATAGATCAACTTATTTTATGGTTACAAATTATCAAATTAATTGATTGTAAGTTATTTTTTTTATTACAAATTATCGAATTAATTGATCACAACTTAACAAATTATGAAACACGATTACAAATTTAGTCACAATCTCATTTTTTTAATTACAAATTAACAATTTTATTGGCAACATCATCCAAATAATTAGTCACAAATACTTCTCATCCCACTCCACCCCACTTAACTAGTACCAATCAAACTCTACCTTACCATCATCCTCACTTACACCATCGTCATTTGTGACCATCATCGCCACTGCCAGCAACACCATCAACAGCACCACAACCTCGCCACCTACACCAGCACCACTCCATCATCACTAGATCCAATACCACCACTACTAAAAACCATTCCAAAACTCCGGCTAAACAAATTCTCAAAACCATCGCTAAAACCCCAAAACATTGAAACCATCGCCACCTTCACCACCACTCCAACAACCAACAGAATAGAGGGGGAAGCAGCAATTTTACTTTTCACCAACAACCACCAACAAAAATAAATACAACTCCAGCTAAGCAGTCATAGATGTCGCCCAATTGAGAAAAAGTTATCGCAAAACACCAAGAAAGGATAGTGAAGATCGCAATTAGATTGACAATCAACAACTGGATTGAAGTCACACTATTGTACTCACAAACGAGCATTGATATTTAAAAGTCGGGAGGACAGATATTGTACCATCATCGTTACTAAAGGAAGGACCCCAAAAACCATCCCCAAATTAGATCAGATCGATGGACCTGCATGGGGCTATGTGTCATGCACGGTGATTGTTACACAAAAATCTCGCAAGCGTACGAGATCGTTGTACAAGTAATAATTGTGAGGAGTGAGTTATCGACCCACGGGAAATAAGGCTCAATTTTAGAGTATTCGATATATTTCAATTCGCAAATGTAACAAAAGATGGTTGATTTTTAGTTAACTACGTTTTATAACTACGAAAACAATAAAAAAAATGGTTTTAAATTAAATGTGGGTGAGTGTATTGGATTTCCGACTCCACTAATCAATTCTTAATTTCAATTCTCAACCAGTGATAATTAATTCGATTCATGCAATTGCGACGATCGATAATTCCACTTTCATTTACTATTCTTTCCCAAGATATAATAAATCTATGATTGCCACGAGACGATTCTATTCCTAATCCGAATTCATATGACAAGCAAGCATTGACGTTTAGGATTATCACACATGACCGCACACGCCATAAATATTATTCCTAATATTTATTGTCCGTGTGTTCCATAAACAGTGTTCTACCTACCGTGAGTTTTCCAACAATACGAATAAGCAACTAATTGTCATAATGGTGCGCAAACATTAAAAACAATAAATTCATTTATGTTTATGAAATCACAATGCAAAAATTAAATTAAAAACACATGATATCGAATTAAAAACTAAAAATTAATTAGTTTCATCATCCATCCAATATAAAGGAATTTAGCCTAACATATTATAGAAATTAAATTACACAAGAATAATTGGAAAAAAATCACCTGGAAATAAGAAAGATGGAAGAATTTGGAAAAATCCACGTTCTTGATGTGAAACTTGAATCCAGATGAAAAATTTTCAATATCCTATGCAATTCGCCTTGATTCCACGTTGTTAGCCACGTTCTTCGTCTCCAAAATATGTATAATATAGAGATTTTTAGGTCTAGGGAGGTTCTCCATATGTATTCTGCTGTTCTCTCTTTATAGGAGCATAAAATTGGTTGAAAATCACGTCCAAATTGGTTTCCAAAAGAGTTCTAATCGAATAAGGAAAGTTGTCTTCGCGCGCGGATTTTGTCTCTGCACAGCAGTCCGTATTTTAGTCATAACTTTCTCTTATGATATCAGATTGATGCGATTCAAAGTGCGTTGGAAAGATAACTTAAAGGGATACAACTTTGATTGAAATAGAGTTTTTCCAATTCGGACGTTTACTATGTCAAAAATGGGTCTCAATATTCGGCTAAAAATCTGGAATATATTTTGAGCGATTGGAAATTGATTTTGATAATATTTTGATCATATTCCATTCCTTTTTGAATTCTAATTTCAATCCAATTGTCTCTTAACAATCTTCAAAGTATCTTCTTGAGTATTTGTAATTTAATTCTCGAACTTTGAATTTTACCATTTTTCACCATATTTTGCTTCTTTTCTTTAATTCTTCATCAAACATAGAGTTTTACCTACACAATGCAATATAATATAAATTATGTTGAATTTTGTCAAAAAATCAATAAAATTCTATAGTTTTAAGCCCCGAATAAGTGTAGAAAATACACTTATCAGTGATCCTATGCACCGCAATTGCGCTGCGCTCGGTGGTCTTACATGCAACGGTCATGAGTGGTTGCACTGGGCGTAGTGGTCCTGCGTGTAGTTGCCATGGTGGTTTCTAGTGGCGATCAACGGTGGTTGATTTTTCGGTGGAAGAGCTAGAAAAGAGAGACAAAAACGAGAGGGAGGTCAGTTTTTAATGAGATTGGGCAAGTTAGGTGGGGTGAGTTATTAATAATATATTTATTTAATACATATTAAATAATCCATTATAAGAAATATGAAACATAAAATATGATTTATGAAAATGCAAACTTTAAAAACACAAATGGGTGTAATTTCCACTTTACATAACAATGAATCTCCAGCTTATAAATAATTTCTTTTGCAAACAGTCTCTGTATTTTACATGTTAGTACGTATTCATTTTAAGCAAAACAAAAGGCTAATATTATTTAAGAAAATTTGCACTTTCATTTCTAATCGTTACAAATTGTTACTAATCTAGCCTGAACTTTTTTTAACATAAAAAATCCCTAACCTCTCACTTAATTAAAAATCACATCATTCCGTCCATTTTCTGTAAAATTCGCGTAGTGGTGAATTTGCCTTCTATTTAAATAAATAAAAATAAAAGAAATCAACAAAATAGGAAAAAAAAAATGAAGGAAAAATTGTAGAAAATATATCCCACT